GAAACAATTGTGGTTTTTTACATAGAATTATGAAATTTGGAGTAAAAATTGAATACATTTTTGTAAATAATTGAAGAAGTGGAGCCACAACAAATTGAACTTTTGACACGTTATTGGCGTTAATTATGTTTTTTAAAAAAGGTGACAAAAAACTTAATAGCAAAAGTAGTTAATATGGGTATCATTTTAAAGCTCTTCTTTCAAGGATTCTTTAAAAGTTTAAATCACAGCTATATCTCATTCTCATCAGAAGTTATGGTCAATTATAAAAATTATAGTTTTATCAAAAAGCTGGAATTGACTGTTTAAGCAAAATAATATCTATTAGTCATTCATCAATGCATTCTCCTCCACAACGACACAATAGAGTACATTTTAAAGCTGCTCTGTTGCATTTGCATAGCCCTGAGTGCATTTTTCTCACAGTTACAGCATTGAAGCTCCCTCGAAGAAACACTAGCTTCTGCACAATCTTTTGCATGGGTTTGTCCATTCCTGATTCTCTAGAGAAGTCAAGTTCATGGCAGCTTGATACACTTTCCTCAGCAAAGCTCACCTTAGTACACAGCTCATCTTGTAAGCTGAATTAGGGCTACCTTAGTAGGAGGAATGCATCCATTGATATTCTTTTCTTTGAGAGAAGATGCTTTATAGCTTCAGTAATGCAGAGCTTCATTTGTTCTATTATAAAGCAGGATAGTACATTGCTCAAGTATTTTAACATCACCATCACTTATCTGAGCTAGTCAAATGGAAAGTGCAATGAATGTTTTAATGACTTTGTCATACGCCTTTCAAGTATCCCATCCTGATTTGTTTCCCCTGGTAGAAAATAATGAAACTGTGTCATAAGCTGGATAGGCATGAAACATATATGTAAGGCTCGATACTTGACTGCGCCAAAAGAAGCAAAATATGACGCATGCACTGGTATGTATCTAAAACTTCTGCCTGTTCCAAAAGCTATCCATAATTTCTCAATTTCCATTTTTGCTGCTGCTGCCAATGACAAAACAAAAACGTCTGCATGTGTCTACTGTATGTATTAAAATTTTGTTAAAGCCTTTATTGATGGCATCTGAAAAATGAAGAAATATTCTATAGTCCCAGCTTCATGATCAGAAGGAGCAAGGTGACTGGTATCTTAATTGTGAGGGAATATACGTATCTTCTATGCCATGCATTTGTAGTTTTTACTAGTAGTTAACAACTGCCTAATGTGTGCTACTAAGAAAGCAAATAATTCAGTCTTGTTCATGTTGTTGCACAAAAATTGATGTGTATAATTTCAAATGCTTCAACTCTCCTTCGAAATCCCTTGCCACAATTCCTTCTTTTATGACATTTTAGGCTATTGGCAATGCATTGGTCCTACACAATATCAAAGAGCATGTATAAAATAAACCAAAGCTTCTGATGAGAATGAGATATCGCTGTGATTAAAACTTTAAAAGAATCCTTGAAAGAAGAGCTTTAATATGATACCCATATTAAGTACTTTTGCTATCAAGTTTTTTTGTCACCTTTTTTTAAAAACGTAATTAATGCCAATAAGGTGTCAAAAGTAAAATTTGATGTGGCTCCATTTTTACAATTATTTGCAAACATATATTCTATTATTACTCCAAGTTTCATAATTCTATGTAAAAACCCACAATTCATGCCAATATTTGCACAAATCTGCCTGACTAATAGCAAAGTCACCAAAGGGAAATAATGTAAATTTTGTAATCATTGGAGTCACATCATTTGTTATGGTGTTATTTTTGTAGCCAATAAAAGAGGATGTCCTGACAGATTCTGATGTGTCTCAAGCAAAACACCTAGGTAAACCCCTTAATTACATGTATATTTAATGACTGCGGGATGGGGGAATTTTGTTTGCATTAAAATTATTCAACCTCCCACAAAAGCTGCATGCTAAAGGTATAGAGTTCCAATGTATTATGGATGCATATTCAAAAAGATCCTAGCTTCTGTCCTAATTTGTAATTTACAGTATTTAAAATATACATAATGTACGTATACAATTAACATTGATATTATTACTATCATCTTTATTGTATATAATACATAGATATTACTGATCTTGCCAATGTCATGAAAAATTTAAAATCAATTGATTACACTCAGTGGATAACATTGGGTATCAGCTTAGGACTCCACTACAATACACTAGGAGTAATTGAAGAAAAGTGTAGAGGAGATGTTAAACAGTGTCTACTGAAGTGCATGGCTGCCTGGTTAAGAGGAGAAGATAAAGTGACATTGAAAGGAGGTCCTAGTTGGTTGTCATTAGCAGAAGCGCTGGAAGAAATTGAAGAAAACGACATTGCTAGAAACATTAGAGCAAAGTAGACTGAGCTATTTTAGGCCATAATTTTTTGCTGCTGTTATTGTTATTTTAGATTAGTATTATGCTATTGTGTATTAGTTTCTTGTAGTATTAGAGTAGTTGTATTTTATTTTTTGTAGCATTAGACTGAGCACTGATTGTAGTTTCACAAAAATTTTACTGCTGCTTTGTAAAAAATTTCATGATGT